CTCTGGTCTCCATTGCCTTTCATCCTTTGCCTGTTACCAGGCAACTTGCATTCTTGCTAAGGTTTGTCTGGTTTTCGAAGTAGACATAGGCACAGAGTGCAGACACAGTTCAAAATTAATTATACGTCTTGGTACAAGCATATTTGTTTCAAAAATTTGCAGCCATTTTCTTATGAGTGATATAATAGAGCTTCACAGTGGCCAGAGCTCAAATATGATGGATTTATGCTGTAACCTTACAATAATTCCCTGTGTTATATCTTTTTCTCCCTGAAGTTCCTCTTGTTTTTCTGTAACAAGAGCCAGTCATCAGTGGAATTGAAACAAAAGAGGGACAAATTTGCTTCTAACCCTCTTCTCCCCATATGAAAAAAGCCCTCTTCTCCTCATATTAAACTTTGTCTGGTACTGGTGCCAAACTACTTATTCAATTCATGTGCAAAGACTTCAAGAAAAATATTGCAATTTAAAATGCACTTCTTTGCTGTTTCCTATGCACAAGTTTCTCCAAAAAATTTTTTACTACATTTTAATCACAGATATTTTGGAATGCACTAAGCAATGTGCCAACATTTTTCAGATCTAAGCTAAAAATTTTAGGAAACAATGTGTGACAGGGACACTGTCTCAGCTTCAGAAATAACTGAGATAACCCAGGGATACAAAGAGTTCAAGCCTAGGTATGTATAAGAAGCACTGGCAAATATCCATCTCTCTGGAACGCTGCTTATGGGATAAAGAACATGATGTTCAATTAGAAACTGAATCTCATAAGCAATGCCTAATTCAATGGACTCAAAAGTTTAGTTGTTCTTCTATCCCATTATAAAAATGTTTAGAAATATATAGGATATATGACTTTCACAGCACTAAAGACTTAGAGAGAACACTACAGAGAACAACCAAAGGGTTAGACCCAGGGAATGCTGTGTGACACTTTCCCATCACTCAGTGCAGTGGTGTTGTACAACCAGAGTGAAACAGGATTTGTTTTTAGGCAGAATGTATTGCTATTTAGAGTACTAAAAAAGAGAACAAATCATGGCCTCATTCAATGTAATAAATTCATAAAGCCAAATTTATACTTTCAGTTTTATAATATAGGTCTTCCTTTCAGAAATGTAGTACATTTCCAAACTCTTTTTCAATAGTTTATTCTTATCTGTAATTTTATTACAGTTTAAAGAGGAAATATTAGGTACTTTTGTTCTTCATATCTTTTTCACCAGCAGAGCCACATGTTGTACAGTTGTTTTCAATATACAGTAATACCGATCTCTGCAAAGAGATGCAAGACATTTCTCCTCCCCTCCCCGAGCACCTCTCTTAACCTGAGAATAAGGATTAATAAAATGTAAGGCTTGGTGCTTCTGAGGATTAACTACAGGTAGTTCGCATTTCTGCCCATCAGCTGTAGGTCAGAAATTACTGAAATCCCATAGTGGCATCAAGATTCCTGGTAGGCCACTGGTGCCATACACACAGAAATAAAGTTAGTCCTCTGAAGTGCTCCAAAATAATGTGCTCCAAACACATTATTTTTAAAATCTTAACTTATAGATCCTAATCTTACAAGTATTTCTGCATGCACAAAACCTTATTCATGTTAGTGATACCAGGCACATTGTTATCTTATTCGCAGGATTGGGTCATATCAACAAAAGACAGAAGTTACTAAAGTCAGTAATGGAATGGAGTTTTTATTCTTTCAATAAATATGTGTGTTTACTATACAACCTCTCTAAAAGACAATGATAGTATTTACTGAGTGGATAATAATAGAAAAAATTATTCTTTAGATTTGGAAAATTAGGAATAAAATTAGATAGTCTCAGTTTCAGATACTATTTTATTGTTAGATACAAAACATTTTTATTGTTATATCTGAAACAATAAATGCATGCAAGAGGTAAGCAGCATGAAAGACTTCAGTATTCCATACTGAAAGGGTTAATAGGAAAAGATAAAAAGAAAATCAAACAAATTAAGTAGTAGTGGTCAGTTAGAAATAACTTAGTGAAAACTACAAGGTATTATGGAGTAGTTCTCCAGTCTTTGATAACACTATTTTTATATGCCTTCTAGTCACAGTTGAAAAAGTTTTTTTCCTAATTATGTGCGTGTTTTGAGATATATATTATACAGAAGGAAAAAAATCAAAGTCACTATGTTACAAAGAAGCTGGAAACAAGTAAAGCCTTTCAAGAAAGTTGACCTAAGACTTGCTTTAAAAAAAAAAATTGATGACTAACCTTACCTTCAAAATTTTTCCTGCAAAAAATACCCACCTTACAGTGGATGGATGGCATCCTGATATTACTTCTCCCAATCTGCTAACAAATTCAAACTGCATATGGGATAGTTTAGAGCAAAATCATTCTTATTCCTCATCCACTTTTCTTAGGCCCTATTGCTACTTACCATTTACATGTTCTGTCTTCACTCTGAGTCTATAAACATCTATAGTCAAGAATTTTTGTTTATTTTGTGTCTAGCAAAATGGGTCCTGTTCTAGATAATGCTTCTGGTGACTGTAGAAAAATATGAAATAAATAAAAATTATTTGATTGGTGTGAATAACTGCAGGACAGCAAAATGAAAGTCTTCACAGACTCTGAACTACTCCCACATCTATAAGATGGATGCCTAAAATATCTGAATTCTAATTCTTCTTGAAATGACAGAAAAATGCCGAGACAAGAAATAGACAAATAGGTGATAAATCAGAAGGTGGGATAAGAGGGAAGATGCAACCTCTAATTAACCATTTTAAATTCTACTTATTTTTGATTTAGCATGATGTTAATCTTAATAAAATAACAGCAACCTTGAAAGTATTGATGTTATTTTCATGTAATTTATGACAATAAAAAATGTGCTGAGGTTATGGGTTATGTCATTCCCATTATGGCCAGTGAATGAGATAAATCTTAAAGTTTATTTTCTGACTGCATACTTAGCTATTGCAGTTATCTCTAAGACATTAACTTATTGAAAAGAAGATATCATCTTTCAAGAGAAACATGTCAAAAATATTTTGATAAAGTATTTATAATCCCTGAAAACAGATGGCTGTTTCATAAAGATTGTCAGCTGAGAAGATTTACTGACAGAAACATGTTAAACGTCTTAAAATTTTTTGAGGGAAGAACTTGCACCACAAAATCAGATGCATTCTTCCATTAATCCATCACAGCTGGTTGATTTTTTGACAGCAAGAGCATGCTGGACCTAATTTGATTGCCTTACACTTTTTCTGATTAATAATACGTGGGTAAGTTGAACCTTGATGGAGAGAGTATAAAAGCAGATCACTTGCACAAAGCATAGGTAGGATGATGGGAGAAGAAAATAATTTGATATGTGCAGATAAAGTAAAATCCATGGGATTGTATTTATGCATAAAAACACTGGGTTTGTTTTGGCTGAGATAATAATAGACAGCATTTAAACTTTCAGAAGTATGGTATAAATCTCCCCAAAGAATACAAATTACATAAGCAGTATATAGTATTTGAAATTTCACATATTATTTTAGTTTTTTCTGTATGCATAAAGTGCCTTTTTGATGGAAGGAAAAACATGTGGCAAGGCAGAGCTCAGTAAAATGTTCTGTTACTGCATTTATTCTCAGTTGAAGAAGTCAATAGGGTCATGTAGTCTAAGGTGCAGAAAGATACCGAGATACTGAGAACTGTAATCAGAAGAACAGCTGCTGACATATATTCTCCTTCTTAATATGTTATTTGGTGATACTTTGTAGTGGAAGCCTTTGTTGCTTTGTTACTTTGCAATTGTGCATTCTGCAGGGCCAAAAACCATAAACCTGTACCTTTCTACCCAAACCCGCTTATACTATAACCCTGTAGACCTGCTTATACTATAGACTGTATTGGCAATATTTAGATACTGTATCAGCAATAAATCTAGTCATAATCATCCATATGATTAGTGTCATATTTCTCACACCTGACCAGGAGTCTTCTGTCTACTACTCTGCCACACTATAAATCATCATAGTAGATAGGAAAGAAAGTAATTTCCATTCCTGCTAAGGCTTGTTTTTTCCTGGGAAGGATACTTATTCATACAGGAATATTTTCAGACTTACTCTGCGTCTCTGGGTACGTTAAGTATTGTTGTGCACAAGAGTTGTATCTAGTCTCAGGTGTGGGTCAAGTAACAAAAATTAATTCTATTATTATTGCATCATTCTTCTGTTCGTTTTAAGACGCTGGGACTCATAGCTGATCATGAATGGCAGCAACAATGGTTATACCATCACGCAGACTGTGTCTATTTATAATGAGTCACTGCTTTTAGTAGGCTCAGTGTGGGAATACCTGAGTGAGAAGATACACAAGGTTATGAGCACCCTAGATAATTTTGAATGAATAATATGAATATTCACTGGAAGGGATATTTTTAGTGTTTACAGAAACTGAAATAAACTTTGCAAGAACTACCATACAGCTAAGAAAATTTTGTCTTATTTACCTTCTTGAGGAAAAGTTACAGTAAGTGTTAGCATGACATCACTTTCCTAAGTGGTTTACCTGGCCCATCATAACTTCCTAAATTAATATGTAAATGTACATATATTTTTTCCTAGTTAACGAATCAGATTCACATTTAAATATATATATACATGTGTATATATATATATATACATATATATATAAAAATAGACATTCTTTAATGACACCCAAACCTGTTAAGATCTTTTCCTGGGTCAAATTTGTCAAATATCATTCTTTTTTGCAGTCTAGATTAGAGAATTCATTTTTTCACCCATCTAATAGTAGGTATTTGATCTCAATTAAGCAAATGTGCTTCGACTGCACTCAGTCTGACACAAGAGCTAAATAAGGAAGTTATCCTGAGAAATACTGTGGAGTGTTGTATTCTGTATCCTTTACAAGCTCAAGTGATAATCCTGTAACTTTAGGATGGCAAAGAAAGTATGAGCCATGAGAAGTATGAAAAAGTCTTCAACTGACCTGTTTAAGCTTGTAGAAAAAGGTGAAAAATGTACTCTTGTTACATGTATTATCCTGTTAAAATTTTTTGTGCTTTAAAGTATGATACCAGGTACACTGAGCCCCAAAACAAATACTTTCTGTAAGCAAACAGAAAGAAAGAAACAAGCCAACCTTCTACTAAGTCCAAGGTTCAAAATGTATTGATTTTGACTTTTGAAAAGTAGAACTCTATCATAGAAAATAAAAGGTTAACAGAAACAGCGAAAATTAATTTCTTATTTAACTCTTCATTGGTAAAACGAGAAATGAAGCGCTACATAGCGATTTTTGATAATTCTTAGGGACAAGGAATGAATCTTTTTTTTTTCCTGATCATTGAATACTGAACGGCCTCTTTTAATATGAAAAACCCCTCTGTTTGTGTTTCTACAATGTTTTCTATTTCAACTACTCTTCCAGATCAATTTTATGAGGTTTATTACCTGCTCATTTATGAGAACTTTTGAATCAGTGTTTAAAAACATGAGAATTGTCAACCAGGAGCATTTTCAGTGTCTGCTTTTCACAGCTGATGTCATTTAGTTCCCTAACTTTTTTTTCCCTGAAAGCCCCTGTTGACCAGGTTTCACACTGTGGTTTGCTTGAAAATTATGGAATATTCACACTCTGAGTGGGACTCTGGCAACTTACATTTTTGTGCATGTGCACATATCCACTGCAAAGAAAAACCTCCATTTACTCTAGTAATATATCACCGTGTTACAACCATCAGGGCATTTAATTTACAACTCAAATCAATTGGGACTTGCTTCTGCTAGACAGTAATATACAGTCAGTTTAAAAAACCTGGATATTGCAGCTCAGTGCAAGATGGGCTGTCAGTCAGCAGAGTAACAAAATGACAATTTATGGTTTGTAAATATCCAGCAGATAAATTGCAAGAAAAATGCACTTTGACTTTAGCAACACACTGTGAGGAATACATTTTTGCTGAAAGAACTGTGTACTGTGCGAGGAAATTACTTCTATTAAATAGAAATACTTTGCTCTCTCTTTATTATATGTTTTTTTAAAGAACCTGTTTACTGCCTAATACTTTTAAAGAAACCAAAATATATATACTGGACCTTTTTCTTTGGTGATGTAATGACTTCTCAGACAGTCATCTTATGTAGATCTATATAACTTCACTAAAGCTCACCAGAGCTGTACAGAAGGTTGGTAAGTGTAGTGCAGTGTGTGCTAGGAGGAGGAAATACATACTACTGGGTGCTGGTATGGCACTTAAATAGCCATGAGTCTTGAAGAAACAAGATGATTCTTAGCACTGAAGAAACACAAAGAAGAAGAGACAGATTTCTATGTAGACAAGGGCCTAATATTTCAAATTTCATGAAGTCAAAAAGGAGAACTTTCTCTCTACAGTATCTTCATGGCCTGTGTAAGCAAAGCAAAAGATGAATCAAGAATCCATTGATGACCACCTGAAAAAGCTTGAAATGAAGGAAAAACACTTTGTACAAATGGTTTCTACTTTCACCGTGCCCTAGGTTTTGACAAGAAACATAAATAATAATTTTTTGAGGGTGGAGGGAGGCTGTGCTGAATCATAGAATCATAAAACCATAGAATCAACAGGGTCGGAAAAGACCTCTGAGATCATCAACTCCCACCCTTGATCCAACACTGCCATGGTTACTAGATCATGGCACTAAGTGCCACATCCAGTCTCTTCTTAAAAACCTCCCTGATGGTGAATCCACCACCTCCCTGGGCAGCCCATTTCAATGCCTGATTACTCTCCCTGTAAAAAATTTCTCCCTAATATCCAACCTAAACCTCCCCTGGCACAGCTTAAGACCATGCCCTCTTGTCCTACTGCTGGTTGCCTGGGAGAAGAGACCAATGCCCACCTGGCTACAACCTCCTTTCAGGGAGTTGTAGAGAGTGATGAGGTCTCCCCTGAGCCTCCTCGTCTCCAGGCTAAACAGCCCCAGCTCCCTCAGCCTCTCCTCATGGGACTCGTGCTCAAGTCCCTTCACCAGCCTCGTTGCTCTTCTCTGGACCTGCTCCAGTACCTCAATATCCTTCCTGAACTGAGGGACCCAGAACTGGACACAGTACTCCAGGTGTGGCCTCACCAGCACTGAGTACAGGGGAAGAATCACTTCCCTGATCCTGCTGGCCAGGGAAGGCCAGGATGCCATTGGCCTTCTTGGCCTCCTGGGCACACTGCTGGCTCATGTTCAGCTTCCTGTCAATCCAAACTCCCAGGTCCCTTTCTGCCTGGCTTCTCTCCAGCCACTCTGTCCCCAGCCTGTAGCGTTGCAGAGGGTTGTTGTGACCAAAGTGCAGGACCCGGCACTTGGCCTTGTTGAACCTCATCCTGTTGGAATCAACCCAACTCTCCATCCTGTCCAGGTCTCTCTACAGAGCCCTCCTGCTTTCCAGCTGATCGTCACTCCCTCCCAACTTAGTGTCATCTGCAAATTTGCTGATGATGGACTCAATCCCATCATCTAAATCATCAATAAAGATATTAAATAGAACTGGGCCCAACACTGATCCCCGGGGGATACCACCAGTGACCAATCGCCAACTGGATGCAGCCCCGTTCACCAGCACTCTCTGGGCCTGGCCATCAGCCAGTTCTTAACCCAGCAGAGAGTGTCCCTGTCCAAGCCATGGGCTATCAGCTTTTTCAGGAGTATGTGATGGGAGATGGTTATCAAAGGCTTTGCTAAAATCCAGATCCACATCCACAACCTTCCCTTCATCCACTAGGCAGGTCACTTGATCATAAAAGGAGATCAGGTTGGTCAGATAGGACCTGCCCCTCCTAAACCCATGCTGGCTGGGTCTGATCCCTTGTCCATCCTGTAGGTGCTGTGTGATTGCACTTAGGATGATCTGCTCCATAATCTTGCCAGACACTAAGGTCAAGCTGACAGGCCTGAGGTTTCGGTTTTGTTTGCTTGCAATTTCTTTTGGTTGTTTGTTGTTTTTTCATGTGTGGCTTGGTTTTCGTTTTATGGTGGATTTTTTTTTTGTGGAAGTATAAAAATAACTTTTAAAAAGTTGCAAGTTTTCTCCACATTGAAACTGCCTAATCCCAAAGAAATGGCTTCATCCATTCAAATATCATGTGAGTTAATTTTCATGAGGTTTCCCATCTTTTCACTCTTCATGAACAATTTTGAAAGAAAAGGGTTGATTGGCATCAAATTATTAATTATCATGTATAGTGAATCTATAAAAAAGGAAAAGGAAGAAAATTCATCACATTCCACATAATTTGTGTATTTTTAAGCAAAGACAAATATTGCTGTCTTGGAAATTCAACAATTACAATTAAATAGAGAGAGTAATTTTACCTTACCTCTTGGAATATACATGATTTGTATCCTAAACACTTATTCTCCTGTATTGTATACTTTTAGTGCTGTTCTGGTCTATTGCATACTGTAATTAATACACATTCTCTTTTTTTAGATTGAATTCTACACCCTCGAAAAGCTATTTGAATATGAAGTCCCTTACTATACTCTCCTAACAAAAGAGTATTAAAAGCATATAAAACAATTATTATCTTATACCCCTTCACTGTAACTCAATCTTGACCCCTAGGGATATTTACTTTTGAAATCTGCGTAAAAAGTTGCAATTTTGTCCTCATATCCTCTTAAGATTTGGCCATTCTGCTAAAATTCTCATGGCTGATAACAATAGAGATGAAGGAGGATTTTAGATTAATTATTTCTGATATGACTGATGTTCATAGAAAAGTTTTCATATAGAAAATATAAGTGGCATAGGAATTAAATTAAATAAATTAATTTAACACAAGAATATTGCCATTATTAATGCTCTACATGACAAACTATCTAGTTGCTGTTCATTCATAATCTTTATGCAATTTTTTTCCCCACATGGGTCATAAATCCTAAAATATTAGATTGTTATCCTAGCTGCATATATAGATACCCAAGTCTCAAGAGATCAAGTAAATTGTTAACAATCTTAAAGGGACTCAAACTGAAAAGAAATGTCATCTGACTATTTCTAAGTTCAACAGACATTTCTGAATCATGAAACAGATTGTAATAGCTGATATTCTTCAGTAACTGATAAAAAGACCTTCTTTCTCCAAGGAATTACTTGTATAAAAGTCATGATAAATGCGTAATCCTGAAGCTCTTGAGATCCTGTAATTTTTATGAATTTAGCATTCCCTGAACTCAGAATTCAAGTTCTATTCAGAGGACAGTCTTGTATTTCTAGCAAAGACAATTATTGTTGGAAAAATTCTCTGCTGATGTCAGATTTAGTGTGTACATTAATAAAATATATATTTAGTGTTCTATTGCAGATGAAAAAAAAATCCAAACACATTCAACAAATTGAAATTAATCAGAGGCACCTGAGATCACGATTATATTTGTTTAGCTCTTCTCTCGGTTTTCTTCTTTTTTCGTTTTTTCCTTGTTTTTTTTCCTTTTTCCTTATTCATCTAGGTGAAGACTTCTATCAAACGAAGCGGAATATAGTCATTAAAGTTAAGATTTAAAAAAAAATCCAGCTTCACATCAATACTTATCCTTTCTATTGTGAAATTACTTTTCTCACCTCATTTAATGATAGAAACTTGGCAACCATGATGTACTTCTATTTTATTCTTAACTTCACATCTGATAGATACATGTGTGAGAGTCATGAAAATTACAAAGATATTTTTGTCACTTACTATGTAATAGGCTGCTGTCATTTATTGCACAGTAAGACTCTACTATAATAGAGCATGAATCTTTTGATAATTCAGAAGAGATGCTCACAACTGGTTCTGTGCTGGAGATACCTTTACGTTGCAATGCATTTGTGTCTGTCATCAGCAATGTCCTTTTAAGACTCATGGCTCCCAGTGAGAAGGATTTATGAGTATTTTTCTCAACCTATGCAGAGCTCTGTGTGCATGGCTGGGCCTTTTTAGCAGTAATCCAAGTGGGGCAGGTAGCCCAGGTTGAGAGTAGCGACCTTATTAAGGGGTGTTATAAAGGGGGCATGAAGAGAGAAGTGGAGTAAGACAGAGGGAGTGTGGATCAAATTATTTTT